ATTTATCCCTTCTCCAGGCGCTGGAATTCCAGAGTGGACAGGATTTATCCCTTCTCCAGGCTCCCGGGGCCCTGCCCAGGCTCCCCCGCCCCACTCTGGGGTCCCTGCCGGCCCAGCTGCATTTTGGGATGTGCTGGATTTGGGGATGTGCTGCATTTTGGGATGTGTGTGCTGGGTTTGTTTGGTTGTCCCCAGACTAATCCTGAGACAGAGGTGCCCAAATGTGTGGCTTTAATTGCCCTAGAACTCGGACCCCACACCATTCCCACACCATTCCCGGCTGAGCCCTGGAGGGGAGAAGCTGCTCCTGGGAATTCACCGGGAATCCAGAGCTCGCAGGGTCCCGGTTTCTTCCCTTTTCCCGGGAACTGGGAATGTTGTTCCCGAACATCCTCTTTGCTGCCTTACCCTGTGTCCCCCAAACTGTGTCAGCAGCAAAACTGAGGCAGCAAATGGGATTATTGCTCCCTCTGGGGCTGTGCTGAGGGAACCCTCGGGCTCGGGCTGGTGTCAGGAGTTTGGGAATGGGTGGATGTTTGGGAACAGGTCGTTAGCAGCACTCAGGCTCTTCAGTTTGCATTTCCATGGGCACAGGCAGCTTGAGCACTTCCATAGGAATGCAGGAGCAGTGGGATGTGCTGCTGGATGTGCTGCCTCAGTCTGCAGAGAAACCTGACCCGCTTCAGAACAGATTTCAGGGGGTTTTTGCACATGAAGCAGCCGAGATGCACAAGAAAGGAGCGATTGTGCCGTGAGATAAATAATTCCCTCCTGTGTTCCAGCCCTGGTTCCTCTCCCTGACTCCTGGAACTTGGACCAGATGTGTTTTCCCACTGCCTGGGAATTGCTGGGCCTGTTTCAGGCACCTGTTCCTCAAACTGGGACAGGAATTGGGGTTTGATGTGCTCTGCAGGGTTCATGGGTTCAGCTGGAGGCGGCTGGACCGGTTTGTAGAATCCTGGAATACCCTGAGCTGGAAGGGACCCACCAGGATCATCGAGTCCAACTCCTGGTGCTGCCCAGGACACCCCAAACCCCTCCCCCGGGTCGTTTTAGGCATCACTTTTCATTTCCACATTGCAACCTCTGGTTATTCCTCACTTATTTCCTTCGGAGAATTCACGTTTCCTGAGCATTTCAGAGCAGGGTCCCAGCGAGGAAACATGAATGCTTTTTATTTTTGCAGCAGAACTTTGTGTTGGGGATTGGCCCTAAAGCCGGGTTGTACCTGTGGAACGAAAATCACATTTTTCTTGGCCATTTTCCTGTGTTTCTGTCCTGCTGCTGCTGATTGATGGGTGACACAGAATATTAACAGAAGCAAAGTGAAAAATCACATTCTTATTTATTTATATATATATATATATGTATTTATAAATATATATAATATTTATATATATATATTTATATTTACCTGAATCTTGCATTTTCTTGCCACCCTTCAAAAGTAAACACGTGCCAGTTGTATCATGGTTCTGATTCTCCTGGAGCCAAATAATGTGATTTATTCAGTATGAAAGTGTTTAACTTAAAATGACACCGGGTGTTTATTAAGGGTTGAGTTCACATGGGTTTTTACCTGTACTAGAAATGAGTGAAGAGGAAGCAGAGAAGCTCCAGTTTGGGTTAGAAATTTGGGTGGGAACCAGGTTAAAGCCTGTCCCAGGTTTGGTGGAATATTGGAATTCTGTTTGTCTGGTGGAATGTTGGAGCAGTTTTAGTGAACCCCCCAACCTCCAACCAGTGCCTGACTCCTTCAGCAGCCACTCAGCTGGTTTGAAATCGGTGCATTGTCTTAACTAATGCAGATTATTTATTTATGCTCTGTGGTTGTTTCACCACTGGCTGCAAATCTGGTTGCCCCAGGACTTACTGGAGCCGCTGGATCGGTGCTTCCAACCCCCTTCAAAGCCTCAGGTCGTTAACGAGGATGCAAAATGGCTTTGCCTTTAATTGTAACACGGTTAGAATTGTTTGGTTTGGGTTTTTTTCTGAGCTGTGTTTTGAGAAAAGTCTTGTTTTCTATTAAAAAAAAAAAAATCAGTTTTCAGGGTGCTCAGACTTTCTCCTGGCCCTGGGTCTGTGTGCAGGGGTCATCATCCCTAATGAGCCTGAGATCCATATTGATTTATCCCTAAATAAACCCGGTCCTTCCTTGCAGTGCCTCTTGATTGCATCCATTGAAAAGCTCCTGCTAAGCTGAGATTTGCTGAGAAAATGAAATTTTGGGGGTTGACTGGGGGAAATGACAGGTCCTGTGTGGTAAAGGGACCGTGGAAATCCCGGATGGGCTCCGGGCTGTTTGGGATCCCGGGAAGTTGGGGGTGCAGGCTGTGCTGCCTTCCCCTGGCACGGAGCTGGCAGCAGCCCTGTTGTCCCTGCCAGCAGTGTTTGCTGCTGCTGGACCCCTGCCAGGAGCCAGATCCCATTCCCTGCACCAGCAAGAGCTGCCAGGCTGCTCCCTCAGGGGGCAAACCCGGGGCAGGTCAGTGACAGCACCCCCTGAGCCCCCGGGATCCCAAATCTCTCTATTTTAGTGGAGGAAGGGCAGAATGTGGGTTTGCTTACGGAGCAGTGAAAGCCCTGGTGAGGGGGTGAGGGGTTGCTTCCTCCACCCACACCTTGGGCTGCCAGTTGTCCTTTCCTTTTCTGGGTTTGAGCTTTTTAATGTTTGCAGACTTGCAAACCTTGCCTGATCTTTGGTTACCCTGGTGCAGGCACCTCGTGGCTTTGCTCTGTGTCCTGATAAGCATCTTCAAAAACTGCTTTGAAACCCCCGTTTCCTCTTTACTTCTTAATCAGAGCCCGGATCTGCAACTCATTCTGTGAAAAGCTTGGGGTTCTTTTGATAAAAGTGAACTCACCTTTCAAGAGGGACGGAGCTCAAACCACCCCGATGCTGCTTCGGTACGTTTGGGGTTAGAAAACTTAGAGGGGGAAATGCAAACGTTCTCTGAGTGTGTTTTGGGCTCTGAAATCAGCAGTTTGTTGTTGATGAAGGTCCGAGGGGACCTTGGGCAGCTCTTTGGCTGCTCAGTGACGTTGTTCCAAGGCTGGGGGTGCCGGGGGTGGGTTCAGAGTGGAAGCAGGTTGCTGAGGCTGCAGAGCGAGGTGGTTTTAACACCAACTGACTCTGGATAACTCAGAATAACCCCCCCTTTTGTTGTGTGTGTTTGAAGTGGCTCCGTGGGGATGTGAAGGGGTTTGTTGGGCAGAACGTTCCCTCAGTGATGGCACCAATGTTTGGATGTTCAGTAAAATGGGGAGGGAAAGGTGAACCTGCCTTTTCCTGACGAGTTTTGTGCTTTCCTGGCTCTCCAGCAGCAACATTCCAGTAGCCTTCCTGGTTCCCTCCTGCTGGAGGTGCTTGATGTCGCCTTGGAAATGGTCAGGGATGGGTTTATACCTGACACAGGGATTTTTCTGAGCTTCTGAATATTCACTGAATTTAGGGAAAGGAAAAGCCAAACTGGGTTCCATCCTTCCCAGGGCTTTCCAAGGGCCTTCCTGGGTGTAGGGATGTTAATTTTGGCTTGCAGTCCCAGCCAGTTTATGCTATAATGTACTGGCTTTTCCATCTGGACGTGGGTTGTGACCCCAAGCCAGTGCTCACAGCCCATCTCCAGGGATTTCCTGGCCCAGCCAGGGCTTGGTGCTCTCCTTCCTGATTTCCTTTGGAGCTGGGAAGGCAGAGCAGCAGGAATGGACCCTGCTGTGGTGGTGCTGAGTCTGCAGGGCACTGCCAGGCACCTTCGGGGCCCTCTTGGAGCCGTTTGGAAATCCTGGAGAAGCGTTCAGGGATCTGTTCTAATTAAACTGATGATCAGACTCATCAGTGGCCTGGCCTGTCCCCAGGGTGGCACTTCCCCAACACCAGAGGGCACTTCAGTCTTTAGGATTCAGGCATTGGTGGGTTCCTCTCCTGTTCAGTTAAACTCACTTTAGAGGGGGAGAAACTGCTGGTGGGAGCAGTTCTCACATTCCAAGAGTGGAGATCCCGTTTTCTTCACATTTAACTGCTCAGTCCATCCATTCTGTTGGGTCCTTCTCTGTCCTCTCATCCTGGGATGTCTCAGTCCTGAATTCTCCTTTCCTGCCCCCTCTGGTCCCAGATGTAGCTCCAGGAATCCCCTTTGCTGGGGCTTCCAGAGTGTTTCCCATTCCACCTGCCCAGCCAAAAATCCTGGCTTGCTGCTGCAACCCTGTGCTACCCAAATGTTGATTGTCCTGCTGAAAGAGAGATGGGAGGGATTGATTACTTGTATTCAGGAGGGATCACGTGGCTTTTTTTTTTTTTTGCAAGAGGAAGTAGCAGTGTCCTGGTCAAATTCCAACTTGGAATGACTGCGAGGGAAATGTGGATGGGCAAATGTGATATTGTTTGGCTTCTGCTTCGAGGATTAAACAGCTGGGGGGAAGGGAGAATGAGACAAAGGAGTAGTTGCCTTAAATCGAGGGGCTGTGGGAGGGATGTGTGAGGTGGAAGCAAGCAGGGACTGGGGAGTTCTCAGGCTGGTTTGGGGCTGCAGGTGGGAAATGCCTCCGTTGGAATTCATCATTAGTGTGGGTCTGTGTGAAACGTCCCCTGGATGAGGATGGGCTCCCTTTGGGAGGTACAGGAGAGGCAGAGGTACTTTTGGGTAGGGGTGTGGGGGCAGAGCAGGGCTTTGGGGCCATCAGTGCTCCCCAAAGTCCAGGAGAGACACAGCTCTGCGTCCCTGGAGCTGTGGTGGATCCCCATCTTTGGTGGATGGGGAATATTCATTGCCTTGATTTCCATATCTTAGGAATCTCCTACCCCTCAGAGGGTGTTTGTAACTCCCCAGGGTGTTTGTAACTCCCCGTGGTTTCCCTTGAGACACCCCCCAGCAGCCCAGAGATGACCAGCCCTGTGCTTCCCTCCAGCTGGACAAACCCAGAAGGATTTGCTGCGATTTTACTAATTTGAGGTTGTTTGCTGTTCTTTTAATTGACTTTGTTCTCTCTGTTGTCTCTTCTAGATAAAATGTTCGAGGGTTCGTTGGCACCTTTCCCCAGAAGAATAATCCCAGCTCTGCTCCTGCCATAACCCTGGAATTCCGTGCCCTCCCCTCAGCCCCCGTGTGTCCATGGACCAGGCGCCGGGCTGGAGGACCCACCCCCACCTCGAGCTGCTGCTGCTGCCTTGGTTTCTCTGGGATTGAAGGTGCTCCATGAACCAGGGCCCCCCAAATGAGTCAAACGGCCAATTCCTGCCAGCAGCTGGTTGAGAACTGCCCGGCGCCCGTGGCGGGGATGGCACAGGAGGACGGTCGCCGCGGGCAAGTGCCACCCACCTTCTACCACGGGGCCAGCCAGGAGCTCGACCTGTCCACCAAGGTGTACAAGAGGGAGTCAGGGAGCCCCTACTCTGTGCTGGTGGACAGCAAAATGAGCAAACCCCACCTCCACGAGAGAGAGGAGCAGCCTTATTTCAGGGAGAACAGAGCGGTAGGAGAGGTCCGGGCTGTGAAAGAAGACAGAGAAAACTCTGACGACTCTGAGGAGGAAGAGGAGGAGGAAGATGAAGTGACTTACAAAAGGGAGCAGATTATAGTAGAGGTAAACCTTAACAACCAAACCTTAAATGTATCAAAAGGGGAGAAGGGTGTCCCCTCCCAGTCCAAAGAGACTGCTGTTCTTAAGACCAGCAGTGAGGAAGAGGAGGGTGACAGTGGGGAAGAGGCCACTGAAGACAGTAATGATTATGAGGAAAATGAGAGGCAGAAGAAAAAAGAGAAAAGAGTGGAAAAAGTTAGTGTTGCACAAAGGAGAACGAGGAGAGCTGCCTCTGCTGCAGCAGCCACCACCTCCCCACCACCCAGAACTACAAGGGGTCGTAGAAAGAGTGTGGAGCCCCCCAAGCGTAAGAAGAAAACTGCAAAGGAGCCCAAGGCACCTGTGCAGAAATCAAAGTGTGAAGAGAAGGAGACTTTAACCTGTGAGAAGTGCCCCAGGGTGTTTAACACACGCTGGTACCTGGAGAAGCACATGAACGTCACTCACAGGCGAATGCAGATCTGCGACAAATGTGGGAAGAAATTTGTGCTAGAAAGTGAGCTGTCCCTTCACCAGCAAACTGACTGTGAAAAAAATATCCAGGTAGGTTTGCTCACCTGCTTGCCAGATTTCCACACCTTCTGTCGTGCCCTGGATACAGTGGTGGACACTTCAGAGGGGGAAATCTTTTGCACAGCCCAGGTTCTGACCGAGGCCTTGTCTCTGCGCAGCGACACTTCGGTGCCTTCCAGGACTGCTGGGAGAGGAGTGTCCAGCTGCTCTGGCAGTTACTCTGGTAGTAAACTACGAGTTGGGGAGCACACAGAGCCACTCTAGCAGTGTCAGACTGGGCTGAGAACAGTTTGCAGTGAAGCTCTTGGACGGGAGGAGCCCTCCTCCCTCGGTGCTGAGCCCCGGCAGCTCTCGCTGGTGTTCGGTGTCCTCGGGCACAGAGTGGTTCCAGGGCAGGTCTCACTGCAGGACTTGGCTGGTACTGGAATCAGAAATTTGGGCAATCCCAGAGAGGCAAGCAGGTGAGAAAGACACCAGTGGAGTCAGGATTTGAACTGGGGTTAAAGCGGAGTTTAAAAATCCTGCTGGGATGATGATCCAGAGGCGATTTACAGTAAGTGCTCCCAGATGGGGGTAAAAGTGTTATGAATTCAGTGCCTAACCCGTGAGCCTGCCCTTTTCCCAGTGCCAAAAGCCCAGTAAATCCCCCTGATGACACAGAAACCTTTGCTCTTTCTCACCAGCAGCTGTGCAGCTCTGCTCTGTCCCCCAGCAGTGGGAGGCTGTGCTGGAACAGAACCCTTTGCAAGCTCGAGGTCGTGGAAGGAGCTCCAGAGTTTGTGATTCATGCGTGGTTTGGGCTTTGCTCGTGGGCACCTCTGTTCTCACGGAGCTGGTTTATGTGGCAGCTCAGCCCTGCCTTTCCTGCCTCGTTAACCTGCTCAGTGTTGCCCCCTCCCTGTGCAGTGACCCCACTGCCGAGCAGCTCGGGCTCGGTCCGGGGCAGCTGCAGGGTTTGGGGTTTGTAGGGCAGCAGGTTTCCTGTCTGCCCAGCCAGGATTTCACCAGGATGATTTAATGGCTTTTTGTTTGTTTGTTTTCTTGTTTAAACGCTGAACCGAGTTGGAATTCAGTCCCCACTGTGTGGGAGACATGAAATAATTCATTGCAGTTTCTCTTTCCTAAGCCTGACATGCAGCTCTGGGTAACTCTGTGCTGGTTTTCCTTGTGTTTCAGCTCATAGGAGGAAGACTGAAGGAAGGATTATAAAATAAGATAATGAGTCTTGAGCTTAGTTAATAAAATACAGAAACATTTCAGTGTGTCCTTGCAGCTTTTGAAAGAAATACTTCAAAAGTTCAGTGCAGCAGAGAACATTGAAATGTAAATTTAAGGAATGTCCCAGCATCCAGGTGGCTCTTTCACAGCATTAAACCTTTTCACTTTAAACAGGAATTCATGGATAGTTTAAACACATGGTATAGAATAAGGAAGTGTGTGCTTCTGAGGGGATAAATTCCTATGTCCAAAAAGAGGGTAGGAAAAGAAATAAAAATTGTCCAAATTATGTTTTATATCCAGAAGCTCCCCCAGATATTTCCAGTGCCAGAAGCACTGCAAGTCATCTCCAAAGTCTCAATATCTGAGCGTACATCCAACAGTTATTCCTCTGTGCTGACCCTTGGAATGTGTTTTACAGCTTCCTGCTAATGTGTTTTTATTCCACCTGGCAAAAATTGTGCTTCAGGGTTGGATATGTCAAGGGGGATATGGAGCTTTGTGTAGGAAAAGGAATGGTTTAATGTTTGAGTGGTAATTGAACTGATAAAACACAGTGGGCTCCTCTCTATTTTTCATCCAAGTGATGGGATATGTCTGTTTTTCCAGGTGGTTTCTGATTTTCCTCCTCTCCAGATCAGAGTTCCTGTTGTCACCTGAAGCTCTGTGTAGTCACTCTCAGTATTAGTGTTCTAATCTAATTAAGTTGTAGTCTGACCTCTTCAAGGCCTGTCTTAACTTTATATCACAGTATTTGTGATCACTTCACATCACTGCTTTGCTCTTTAGGGTGGTTTTTTTCCCCTCAAGGGCTGCAGTTTGTTCCCCACGTGCCTCCAGGGAGGTGTTTTGGAGGTGTTTCCTCAGGGAATGGACCAGAATTCCCAAGCCTGCAGAGATCCAAACGCTGTGGGAGCAGCAAAACTTGTCTGTGCAGAGAAGAACCGACCCAGCCTGGCAGAATTCATCAATATTTGCTGGTTGAACAGCACCCAGCCCTTCTCACTGGGAGGGAAGGGGGTGATTGAGAGGCAGAAAATGGGGATGCCCCCAAAACCCCAACAACCACCAGAAATGAGCCACAGTTCCTTCCTCCTCACTCCAGAGATGGACATGTCTTGGTTTCCTCACGTGTCTGCCAGCAGGTTTTACAACTGTTCTGAAATGTTCAAAATTCTACAAGGATCTTTTGGTCAAGTCTTTAGGAAGAACTAACTTGGGAAAAGAGGTGTTTGAAAGCCCACAAGTGTCCTGCCCATCGCTGATTTCATGGACATTTCCCGGAAACTGTGGGAAGGAACTCACACATTTCTTGCCTGTTGTCACTTCTGGGACCTGCAGAGCTGCTGAGACCTTCAACAAATGAAGAACCAGAACACAAGGGATGGAGGGGACACCTTGCTTTGCTCTCTGAGTCCCAGAATCCACGTCCAGAGCTGCAGGGTGGGAGCTGCTTTCCCTGGAGAACCAGAAGGATCAGAGAGTTTTGGCTAATTAAACCTGGGATTTGGGTGGGGTCACAGTGCTGCTTCCAAAGGGCTGGAGGATGTGCACATGGATTCAAGGCAACTTGGTGGGATTGGTCTCTTCCACCTCTGTTGGATTCTCCCCTCACACCAAGGGTTTGGATTCTCCCCTCACACCAAGGGTTTGGATTCTCCCCTCACACCAAGGGTTTGGATTCTCCCCTCACACCAAGGGTTTGGATTCTCCCCTCACCAGCAGCATCAGGGCCTGTGAAGTTGTCTCTGGTTTAGCTCCTGTGTTGAATTTTGGAATTCTAAGTTCTCTGCAGGTGGCACCAAAATGTTTGTTTTAACATCCTCTCTCCTCCTGCTTGATCTGGCTTTTCTTAGAGTAGTTGTTTCAGGTGTTAACCCAAGAAATGTGCAGTCTGAGGCAGCATTTTGACTTGTTCTGGGCTTCTTTTTGTGGCTTAACTGCACTGGCTGGAATCGCCGAACCTCCCTAATTCCCACTTCCTTCTCTGTCCCACCCCAGTGTGTTTCCTGTAACAAATCCTTCAAGAAGCTCTGGTCCCTCCATGAACACATCAAGATTGTCCATGGATATGCAGAGAAGAAGTTCTCCTGTGAGATCTGTGAGAAGAAGTTCTACACCATGGCCCACGTGCGGAAACACATGGTTGGTGAGTTGGTGGTGGAGCCTCCAGGGGGTCCTGGGGGGTCTCCTTGTGGGTCTTGGCTCGTTCTGGAAAGAAAAATAATAAGGCAAAAGAAAAATAATAAGGCTGGGAGAGCTGGGGGGTGATCACCTGGAGAAGAGAAGCTCCAGGGGGACCTGAGAGCCCCTTCCAGAGCCTAAAGGGGCTCCAGGAGAGCTGGAGAGGGACTGGGGACCAGGGATGGAGGGACAGGACACAGGGAATGGCTTCCCACTGCCAGAGGTGGGATATTGGGAAGGAATCCCTCCCTGTGAGGGTGGGGAGGGGCTGGGATGGATTTCCCAGAGGAGCTGTGCCTGCCCCATCCCTGGAAGTGTCCAAGGCCAGGCTGGAACTTGGAGCAGCCTGGGCTGGTGGAAGGTGTCCCTGCCCGTGGCACAGGGGGTAGAACTGGATAAGTTTTAAGGTCCTTCCACCCCAAAGCATTCTGTGATTCCATGAAAACAAGACAAAGTGAGTTGTCTGAGCTTTGTGCTCAGCACAGAGATCAGGCCTGTGGTGCTGGGCAGCAGGAGGATGGGAATGTTTGCACAGAGTGTCTGGGAGCTGTCAGCTGGGATCCCCTTCCTGCTCAGAATGGGAGGGAAACGCTGCTTCAGGAGCTGTTTGCGTTGCCCTGCCCCCTCTAACGGCCCGTTGTGTTGCAGCACACACCAAGGACATGCCATTTACATGTGAAACCTGTGGAAAGTCCTTCAAGCGCAGCATGTCCCTCAAGGTCCATTCCCTGCAGCACTCGGGGGAGAAACCCTTCCGCTGTGAGGTGAGAGCTCCTGCTCAGGGTGCAGGGACCAGGGCATGGCAGTGCCAGGGGCAGTGCCAGGGGAGCTGAGTTCACCTAGAAATGAGGGGCAGGTTCATCAAAGTTTGGGGAAAGTTCTTCTCCCCGCGGGGAGCACGGCAGGAGCACCTGGGGGTGACCCGGAGCTGGGTGTGGTTGGCTGTGTTTTTTCTCACACTGGAGCAGGATTTGAATCCCAGTTTTCCCTTCATAGCAAAGCCTAATTCAAACTCCAGGAATCCTCCCTGTCTTACCCAGTAACTTGGAACAGATAGAAGTGGCCACAGTGGAAATAATCAAATTACTGCTTGATTTTCACGTGTGGGATAAATGATTGTGCTCCAAACGGTTCCTCCTGGAGATCTGAGCCCGTGCTCTGAGTTTGGGTTCATTAATCAGTGTGTGTGTGGTGGGATGGGGCAGAGGATCTCCCTGCCACACTCCCAGGAGTTTGGGGTTGGGATTTCCTGCCTGCCTCGGGAAGGGGATGGCGTGGGACAGACTTCCAGTGGTGTGTGTGGAGCAGGGAACGCCTCAGTCACTGGTGGGGATGTTTGGGGGGGTCACAGGATGGGGACAGAGGGGATGCAGAGCCCTTCCTGTTCCCACAGGGGACATGGAGTAGGAATGGTGGTAGAACAGCTCAGGGATAAGACTTGTAGGGAAATAAATCACCTCATACCAATAAAAAGCAGCTGGGAAAGGCCCGTGTGGAGCTGTGCTGTTTGGTGGGGAGCAGAGTCCTCTAGTGGCTGCAAACCCTCCCTGGGATGCCTCGAGCCACCAGCAGTGCTGGAATAACCGAGTCTCTGCCAGGACTGCAGTGCCAGCTGAACGTTCTGACTCTCCCAAAGCTCCTGTGCCAGCAGACCTTTAGTACAGCCCAAACCCTGCTCAGTAAATTCCCACTAAATAATTTGAATTCTGCAGTTCGTGTGTCCTAGCCCAGGTGTCCTTTACTCCTCCCCACAGTCCCCTGCAGTGTCTCCTGTGCCTGGATCCCACTGCTGCTGTTCTTTCTCTTGCAGAACTGTGATGAGAGGTTCCAGTACAAGTACCAGCTGCGCTCCCACATGAGCATCCACATTGGGCACAAGCAGTTCATGTGCCAGTGGTGTGGCAAAGACTTCAACATGAAGCAGTACTTTGATGAGCACATGAAAACACACACTGGTAAGAGCTTGTCGAAGGAGAAGCCACAAGTACCTTGGCAAAACACTTCCCTTCCTTGGGATTTGGGGTTATCCGACTGGAAAATCAGACAGGAGAGGTTAATACACCCCCTTAAAGGTTAAATCTGTAGGGCTGTGACTCACTGTGAGGAAAGGGAGAGGTCAGACCTGGGATTTTGGCCTGAAGGAGCCCCTTGCCAATGGCCTTACAAAGGATTGTTTCAGGCATCAAAATCCAAAGGTGAGGGAGAAATTCCCACAGTCTGAGGAATTCCCAAAGTCTGCAGCTCCTGTGGAGCATTTGCAGAAGTGAGAGAGGAATTCCCAAAGTCTGAGGCTTCTGTGGAGCCCCTTCATTTGCAGAAGTGAGGGGGGAATTCCCAAAGTCAGAGGAATTCCTCCAGTCTGCAGCTCCTGTGGAGCGTTTGCCACGGGCAGAGCAGCCCCGTTCAGTCAGTTTGTGGGAGGTGTAGTGATTTTGGGGGTGTTCAGAGTGGGTGTGCAGTGATTTTGGGGGGTGTCCAGGGTGGGTGTGCAGTGATTTTGGGGATGTCCAGGCTGGGTGTGCAGTGACTCTGGGGGTGTGCAGTGATTTTGAGGGGTGTCCAGGCTGGGTGTGCAGTGATTTTGGGGGGTGTCCAGGGTGGGTGTGCAGTGATTTGGGGGGGTGTTCAGGGTGGGTGTGCAGTGATTTTGGGGGGTGTCCAGGGTGGGTGTGCAGTGATTTGGGGGGGTGTTCAGGGTGGGTGTGCAGTGATTTTGGGG